ATGGGATTCCTGCAAGTAGATCTTTGAAGAGTGCAAAGTTAGCCCTGCAGAAGTCCAGGGTTGTAATCCTACTTATTGTCCTGATTCTACCTTGTCAAATACTAAACTCCACCATGTCGTGGTCACTGTCACCAAGGCTGTTCCCAGCCTTAATGTCCCCAACCAGCCCCTCTTTATTTGTTGATTGAATTGGGTGATTGAAGTCACCCATGAGTACCAAGGAGTGTGTTCTAGAGGCTACCTCCAGTTGTCTGTAGAAGGCCTCATCAACATCATCTTCTTGGTTTGGTGGTTTATAGTAGACTCCCACAAGTTTCCCCCTGCTTTGCATGTCCCTTAATTCTTCCCCACAAGCTTTCAAACTGTTCCGTGTCCCCCCTGGGTGGAACTCAATACATTTCAGTTGCTCTCACACATAAAGAGCAACCCCACCACCTCACCTTGTTGGTCTGTCTTTCCTAAATCATATATAGCCATCCCAGACAACATTCCAGTCATGGGAGCTGTCCCACCATGTTTCAGTGATTGCAGCTCTTGCCTGCCTCTAAAGTTCAGTTTCTCTAGCCAGACTAGAATAGCCAGATGCCAGAAAGTAAGAACAGCGCTCTATTTTACCAAAGCTTTGTCTACTTGCAACTTGATGAACCAGTGTCCTTACCAACTTCAGGTGGTATTAAGGGCACTCTATGAGAACTACAAAGACTCTAGATATAGAATTCATCTGTAAGAGAGAATGGCTGTATCCATACATGAGGTAACAGAACCTGCAGGAAATATCTATTTTATCTGTAAGTGCTACAGACTATAAGAAATCTGAGCTTTTAGATTATATGACTGTATAATAACTGAAGTCCTTCCTTTATCGTCTGTGCGGAGGCTAAAATGGGCACATGTGCAATGATGAACCATAGAATGGTTTGGGTTGGAAGGGACCTTAAGGACCATATAGTTCCAACTCCCCTGCCGTGGGCAGGGATGCCTCCCACTAGACCAAGGTTGCTCAAAGTCCCATCCAGCCTGCCCTTGAACCCCTCCAGGGATGGGGCATCCACACCCTCCCGGGGCAGCCTATTCCAGTGCCTAACCACTCTCAGTGAAGAAATTCTTCCTAACATCCAGCTGAAACTTTCCCTGGCGCAACTTGAGGCCATTTCCTCTCATCCTGTCATCATGTAATTTGGCAGATGAGACCAACACCAGCCTCACTGCAACCTCCTTTTAGATATTTGTAGAGAGCCATAAGGTCACCTCTCAGGCTCCTCTTCCCTCAGCTAGTCTTCATAAGGCATGTTTTCCGGACCTCTCACCAGCCTCCTTGCCCTTCTCCTCATAGCCTTCTCTTCTCCAAGCTGAACAACCCCAATTTTCTCAGCCTGTCTTCATAGGAGAGGTGCTCCAGGTCCCAGGTCTTCTTTATAGTCATCCTCTAAACCCAGTACAAGTCCATATCTTTCTTAAACTGGGATCCCCAGTGCTAAGAGGAGCGCTCCAGGTGGGGTCTCACCAGAGTGGAATAAAGGGAGAGAATCACCTCCCTTGACCTGCTGGCCACCCCTCTTTTGATGCAGCCTGGGATAGGGTTGGGTTTCTAGGCTGTGAGCACACACTGTGGGCTCATGTCCAGCTTTTCATCCACTGGTATCCCCACACAGCTGCTCTCAACCCGCTCATAGCCCAGCCTGTACTTGTGCTTGGGATTGCCCCAACAAGCAGAGATTAAAAGAGATTAAATCCTATTTCTAGAGAATACAAGCTTTAATTATAAATTGTGAGTGCATTCACACTTTCCCCAAAGATTAGAAATTTAGCTTAATTATAATAGAATAGCAATCTTTTTAGGAACAAGCATGCTGTAAAGATCAGTTAATCTTATTCTATGAAGTATCTTTTCTTTGAATTTAAAAATCCTCTGAAAGGTACTTTTAGGCTTTTAACCAGACATTTATAACAGAGAGGGAGTTTAAGGGTTCACAAAAATGCCTGTAGAGTTGTTCTGTCATTTTTTTTTTCAATAACATGCTGTCAGTATATTGTTACTATGCTATTTTTTCATGAAGGTGCATGTTACTTGTAAATGCATGAAAGACATGGCAGTATATACAGCATAAGATTGTAGGTAAAAAAACAATCAGCTAGTACTGTGATTTTGAGGGCTTAGCAAAATCAGACAGAACTTCTCATCAAATTTGTTAAGACTATTCTTGGACACATTCTTTTGTAGCCCTCTATTCAGTGTGACCCATGGACAGGAGAAAAAGACTTAATGAACAAAGCTCAATGTTTTGGAATTCCCATATTTTAAAAAGGTTGGAATGAAAATATTAAAAAATAATAACTTTATTTCCTCTATTTGAAAGACTTCAAAATATTCCACAAAATACAATTCCCCAAAGTTAATAATACTGTCAAATAAATAATGTGGTGATCCAGAACGTTCAGTGTTTCACAGTAATACAGCGCTGCAGACAACTTTGAACATACTTCTCATTGCTTCTGGATTTGGCTCAAGTTTTAGTGGTTCTAAGCAACATTGAGCAGTGTTAGAGACTCTTAAGATATCCAAACCTCTGAAGTGAATCTTCTTTTGAGTTTTCCTTAAACAGCCTGAATACACAGAGAGGACTTTGAACCCAGTAAGTGAAGTTTTAATAAAAAAGAATTTATTTAAACTATAAGCATGATAAGAATAGAAATAAAAGAGAATTCTAACAAATTTCCTTCTGACAGCTGCATCCTGGAAAGTCAAACACTTCAGGCTTGAAAATCTCTTAAGTTCATCAGCCTTTAACTGACATACTGAAAATGTTAAACTCAGTACAGTCCCTTTGCATCCCTAGGTAATGTTTTTCCTCCTTGCCTCTGAGGCTTAGCTGTGCTCTTTCCATGCTCTCACCAGCAGATTCCCAGTCCCTGTGTTTCCTCAGGTTTCCTGTTGTGTGTCCCAGTGTGGAAGCTGTGGCACGGGCAGAGGAACACAGGCAGTTCCTTTCAGCTGAGCATGCTTAGTCATGATCAAAGACAGAGCAGTTTTTTCTCCAGTACACCTGACCCTAAGCACAGCAGCTACAGAACTACATTCTGAAAATGTAATAGATTACAAAAGGGTTTGAATTAAAGAAGGCTGGTGAGAATTGTTCATATAGTGGAGAATGGAATTTCAAGAAATACAGCATTTTTTTAGATATTGTCTAGACAAAAGACACTGGCAAATGAATAAATAAACAGAATAAACATATTGAGGATAAATCTTCGAAGCACAGAATGCATAGAATTCTGTATCCAGAATTAAGAATTTTTTTATGAATAGGTATTCAGCAATTCACTGTCAGACACCAGCATTTTTGCAGACTAACACTGGATATCCTGCAGTCTTTCCAGATCCTTATACCACTGTGGAAAAAACTGAAGACAGGGGCTTTGGGTGTTTATATAAGCCAAAGGTAACATTCTAGTAATGCACACAAGTGGTAGCCACTGCTGATACCTGATTTTTAAAGCAAGTTACACAAGGAACCAATATGGACTGGTTTACTATGAATTTGTGTTGTGTTTCTCTATCCTCCCCAGCTGTGAGTTCAACTCTCCTCATGGACTTCCATCTTCCATCATGGGTCATAGAATCATAGAATCATTTAGGTTGGAAGGGACCTCCAAGATCATCAAGTCCAACCACAGAGCAACCAGGGCTTTAAAGTCCTCTGCTAAAACAGATCAGAATCTGTCAGGGCTGGAAGGGACCACAAGGATCACCCAGTTCCAACCCCTCTGCCATGAGCAGGGACACCTCCCAATAGATCAGGCTGCCCAGAGCCTCATCCAGCCTGGCCTTAAAGACCCCCAGGGATGGGGCCTCAACCACCTCCCTGGGCAACCCATCCCAGGGTCTCACCACTCTCATGGTGAAGAACTTCTTCCTCACAGCCAGCCTGAATCTGCCCACTTCCAGCTTTGCCCCATTCCCCCTAGTTCTGTTGTTACTTGAGATCCTAAAAAGTCCCTCCCCAGCTTTCTTGTAGGCCCCCCTAAGATACTGGAAGGCCACAATAAGGTCCCCTCGGAGCCTTCTCTTCTCCAGACTGAACAGCCCCAACTCTCTCAGTCTGTCCTCATCGGAGAGCTGCTCCAGCCCTCGGATCATTCTGGTGGCCCTCCTCTGGACCCACTCCAGCAGGTCCACGTCCCTTTTGTAATGGGGGCTCCAGAACTGGATGCAGAACTCCAGGTGGGGTCTCACCAGAGCAGAGTAGAGGGGGAGAATCACCTCCCTCCACCTGCTGGCCACACTTCTCTTGATGCAGCCCTCCTTCTCCTTTCTCTTCCCATATTCCTTACTTCTCTTTTCACCCTTACACCATATAAAAATCGCCCCCACCTTCCTATGACCCAAAACAATCAACTGGCCAAAAGGCAGCAAGTGCTATAGCTGGGTCTGAGATAACCAGGCAAGCAGAACAAAAACTGGAGCTCATGTTACAGCGTCTTTTTCTCCTCTGGAGGCCATAGCAGTTAGGTCTTTCTTTCTCTTCCCTCCCCTATCCAGATGCTGATTTTAAAATAATTTGTAAGAGCACTGATTCTTCCAAATTTTTACTAATTTGAAATATGTGTTTTAAATTGGCCAGCAGTTCAAAAAGTGAAGAAAGAGAAGATTGGAGTGAGAAGGGTGAGGATAAGCAGTTGGGCAGATAATCCAAGTAACTTCATAAGACATCACTGGAAACCAGGCTAAAACAGAACAAAGCTAAGCTTAATAAAACCAGGTTTTAACCTTTCTTCAGTTAAAGCATTTCTTATATATAGTTACACTATATATGTGCATTCTTAATATACATAAAGTTTATTCAATAAGTTTTCCTGTAAAAACTTCAGCTTTTTTAAAGTTCCTGTTCCAGTTGTACCAGATGAAATGAAAGTTTCATTTTCCAAAGTTCAGTTTACCATGAGTCTTTGCTTTATTGATTTTTATTGTTTCTTTATTTTTCCTGTTTATTGCCTCATAGGAGCAGTCTCACAGGTGCTGGACAGCCTGGAGGAAATTCATGCACTTACAGACTGCAGTGAAAAAGACTTAGATTTTCTTCACAGTGTTTTCCAGGATCAACATCTTCACACACTACTAGATGTAAGTTTTCTGTGATAAACAATTTGAATGTGTTTCTGTATATGTTGTTCATTGTATAACGTCTTATCCCAAATATCCTTTTTGTTTCATACCAAAATTAATTTATTTAGGTGTGGAATGTAGTAATCAGCTAGCACTTTACACAGAAATACATTTCAATACTATACATACAGAAGATTTTAGATAATGTAAGTGGTTAATGACTCAGTTTTAGTGAATAGCTTTGCTTTAAGTTATCCGCAGAGGCTTTTTTCTTTTGCCTGTTTGTGTTCTATACTTAAACAGACTATTTAATAGGCTCAGTCATTTAAATCTGTATTATTCTGTGGCTCAAGAGAGCTATTACATCATAAGAGAGTAGTGGGTGTTCCACAAGGAAGTGTGCAAAAGTAACAAAGCTGAAGGATGCAGCTTGGTGCTTCCTGGTAGGCATAATCAGGATCTGGTTCCCATTTCTTCACTCTCTTATCTGTGAGCATATTTCACTCTCTGGCTATGTGTACAGATCAACTGTGATATCAGATGGTTCATAGTTGTTGGTTTTTTTCTTCCAGAAAATTAAAGCTCTCTGTATTGCAAAAATAATTTTGGGAAGCAAGTAGTCTGGTGTTTCAGGAGAAAAAACGCTTGTATGCTACTTAGCTTTCTGTGCCTTGAGGACTTCCTGTTTTCAGAGTTTGATGTTATCTTGTTACATGCAGAAATCCTGTTTATATTTCCCAATAGTTTTTTAACAAAGCTGGCCTAACAAGCAAATGCTTTGTACTGTCCCCAGAATGTTGTGGATTTGGGAAAACATATGTATGGTTTTGAAGTAGAATTATTTGCTGAACTTAACTCTCTGCAAAAGCGAGGACTTTCAGCATCACTGCAGGCTTATGCTCCATCCCTCACTGAGTGACAGGACCTTCACTGTAGTATACATTCAAAAGCATATCATGCTGTCATTGATTTCTGTTTCTACACAGTATTGGGTTCTAGAATAAAGGTCAGAAAGAAGAAGAAGAAATTTTCCCTGTTTTTTACTGGGATATATCGATACTTGATGTTGAAGATGGAGGGCTTACTTTCAGGCAAGACAAGCTTTTTCTGAAACAGTCTACGTGTTCCACAGAAAAAAACACTCACAATGGGACCAAATCCACAGAAGCCTAGGGTATGTCCACATTAGCAAGGACTACAACGAGACAGTAGCAGATCTGTAGAGCACAGCAGTTGACACTGAGGATCCAGTGCTGACAATTCTGTATATTTTGAAGGCTTTTACTTTATACAAGCTATACTCCAGTCCTATGGACTGAATAACCACCAGTAGGTAAACAACATCTTCTATTTTACTGTCATTTGAGAGTAAATATGCTCTGGTAAACACTGTACAATGAAAACCAAAGAATGGTAGGTGGATATAATCAAAGAGTCATTTCAAAGAATGCACTTCTGAGTCAAACCAAAATGCTCATGTGAACATATAGATGATGACCATTTTATTACTATGTCTTAAATCTAACAGCTTGGATACCTCAGTGAATATCACAAATCTAACAAGATGTCCATACTTTTTACCCAGTGAAAGACACACAAGAATAGGAGTCATTCCAGCTGTCTGATCTGCAGGTAGATGATTATGGCTGTAGAAGCTTTAAGGAGTTTCTGAAAAAACTGTTGAATGCTGGAGTTCCTATATGTTGCTTTGCAGGGATACGATCTGATGTAAATGATGCCACAGTTCCTTTGATGTCCAGACACTTTAAAATGTAGTAGATTGTACACTTACAATTTGTTTAGTGATTGGTGAGTCGTGGGCCACCTGGATTCTGTGCATCCTGCAAGTTTAAAGGATTCAAATCCACACATAACTTCCTTCCCAAAGAGGATCTACGGTCCTGAACTGGCCTTTATGGCAACATATGCCTTCTGGTAAAGCTTTCCCACAACGTACCTGCCTGTATGATTCGACTAACCAGAGACAGTTAGCTGTTAGGTGACAAGGGCACTGCTTTGACACAAGACTACAGTTCTAATCTTTGTTCTTGATAACTGCTTATGTATTTTACATGAAACAGTCATTGGATAAAATTATATAAGTATGTAGGAAAAAGGGCTAGGTTCTCATGACTTTCCTGAATTGCATGTCCACCAACTAATTTTAAAATTTGTTTTAAAATGTCAATCTTTTTTTTCCCAGTCTAAGTTCATCTCGCTTGTGTTCCAGATGTTTAAATTGTTCTGTCTCTTTATATTGCACGCTGCAGTGTAAAAAGATGACCAGATAATATGACTGAGAAATAAAAATCTGGACAGGAAGATAGTAACATGGTAAACCAGATGGACTTAGTTTAAGATTTTTCTGTATGACAGGTCTACCAGACATTGACTCATGCTTTTGCAATTTTTTCACTTTTTTTCTGTTCTTTACAGTACCAGTCTGGTTCATAGTACCTCACTAATGATCTATTATTTCTTTAATGTTCTGTTGTAGCCTTCTAAACAAGAAAAAACTATAATGAATTCGTTCCACTCTGCCATTCTTTTATTTAAATGTCATCGTCATTCTGTGAGACAGAGAGGGTCACATTTAAATGCACGCTATGATAACATATTTGTGAGACCAAAACTCTATCAAAAAATATTTTTGTTTTATTATGCTATATGGAAGGGGTATAGCAGAATCTCCCCAAAGATACTTTGATTAGAATAATATAGAATAAAATTCTAAAAGATTGCAATGTCATGAAACACATATTTGAACAACTGAAACAAGTTATGGACAGCATTATTTGAAAGGGCAGCTTTTTCATTGCAGTAACTTGAATGTGAGAGATTGATTTCTGCTTGTGCATTGATACTACTCCAGTTTCTCTCAGAATTCTGAAAAACTCCTCAGTTGTACATGGATGAAGTTCTTCCAAGGAAACTGTTTATTCATCTCAGAGTATTTGGGATTAAAGAGGCCACTAGAACCTGTAAAGCATTATATTCTACTAAATAGGAATTTTCTAATCTGTTGTGAAGTTGTGGCTGTCACTTGGCATTAAAACGTCTGTTCCTTTTCCTTGGCCTTTTTCCACAGTTAAATTTGTTCTCATGTTCCTACTCATTCTCAAGAGTTATCCTTATTTATAGAGCAGACACATGATGATAGAGCGCTCTTGCTGCTGAAATACCTTCTTTTGCTTCTTAACTCTTTTTCTGAAAGAAAAAAAAAATAGCAAAGACAATCTTTGTGCTCAAAGTGAAAGTTACTCTTGAGTTATTTTTTTCAGGTAGTACAGATCTTTCTCAGTAATTCATTAACTGTTATGATGTGAAGACAGGCACCTCTGAAGGCAGTAGGAAGCAGGGTTCATGTCATCCCATCAACTGATTTTCATTGATTCATTTATATATGTCTGTTTAGATAGCTATCTTAAGACTCTCTTCCACAGGTGCCAAGGCTGTTTGAAACAAAGAGAAAAAGGTGCTAACTACTTAAAAACTAATTTATATTCACTTTGGGCCAAATCCTGCAATACACCAGTATATCTTGATGTAGGCTTATTGAATACTCTCGTTGTATGATTTTTTTCATGATTTTACAGAATCCCTCTATGGTGTTAAGTGTTTTTTTTCCTGTATAAAAGTTACACAATTTATATCAAAAACTTAATTTAGTTTACTGGAGTGAGTAAAGAAAAGGCCCTTCTACCAGCAACCATTTAGAAATACTCACTACCTTAAAAAAATATTATTGTTTAATCATTGATCTTTCTTGTAAAGTAAAAGAGGAACCTTGGGTGAGACATATTTTATTTTTTCCTTGCTTCTGTTAGAAATGTGATGATAATTTTTCTGAATGCTGTGGGACATTCCTGTGTGTGACACAGAACTGGCTGGGATAATGTCTGTGTAAAGCTATATAGGTTGTTTCATTCTGGTATCCCATTTAGATCATAAAGAATGCAATAAACTTAAGTATTTAAATAACTTCATGGAAACAGAGTTAAATGTAAGTAGTGAAACAGCTTTTTGTTACCAGTGACAGATTTTTAGAAGCTTTATCAAATGCTTAAATTAAGATCTTTTTTTTTAATTAACTTCCATGAAAGAGATCCTGGGAGGTATTGCTGTCTTGTGTCAGCAGTACTGATAAAGAAGCTACAAATACATGTGAAGGGCTTACTAATTTTGGAGATATTGGTGTTTGGCTATTCTCTGTATCATGAGAGAGGACTTTACCTTAATCATTGTTTGTTTTGAAAACTATCCTGGACTTCAAGGCTATGCCTAATGGGAAAGATCTTCTGCACATTGTTTCATCTCTATCAGTGCATCAAAAGAAGCAAGGTTTGCTAAAAAATAAAAACAGAAGCAGCTATTTTACACAGCTGTCTACACTGAAGGAGACAAGAGAAATCATTTTCCTGTTGAGTCAAGTAGTTTGGTCACCTCTCCAGGGAGCTTTCTGTGGATGATTCTGAATGCAGATGTCTTTCGATTTACAAGTGAGATTTTTGCTCAGCAGGAGAACAATATCAGTTTTTGTGTGACTGGGGCCTCTCTATGCTACTGGCTTTGTCTGCATCTGTCTGTCCTGAGTCAGATAGTTCTCTAGGCTGCTGTCTTTTGGCTGTTAATTTAAGAAGTTCATTACGTTATTTTCACAGATGGAATCATTAAGGTAAGTGGGTTTATTTCTGCAAGTATATCTGTGATAGAAGTGTTATGAGCTTTTAAAGAAGTTTATTTTAGCTTTTGCTGGCATAACATGTTGCACACATAAGATTTTAACTAAACGAGATTAAATAAATTTTGCAGTAGCTGTATGTATCATATCTGTATGTGTAGACACTTCTTCCCTTTAGATTTTAACCTAAACAAGTGCATATATTTAAAGCATACTGATTTTTCAAGAGAATCTAGCTTTCATGTCTGTTATCCTTTGCTGCTAATGGTAAGGTTTCAAAGGGACAGGCACGCTTCAGAGTTCCATTAGTTTTTCTTCTGAACTCAGTCATCCAAAC